CCCCAAAACCCCAAAACCCCAAAACCCCAAAACCCCATTAATAATGATAAATCTACATTTCGTAATGAGTAAATAAATTCTGATTTGATGTTCAAATTTTATGATTGTTTCTGTAATATTCATCTTTTCCTTCGACTTTCATTAATTACTTATCCTTAACTAGTTTTGCTAAATGAAGTTCAAGATTGTTTATTGCAGCCAATTACAACCCTCCTATTAATCCCCTGGAGCCATAGATAACGTTATATAGATCATCTTTTGTAATTTTATCATCGTCTTTGAAACAAGCCATTATATTCCTATCTCGTTCCTCTCGATACTAAATATATTGCTCTAGCTTAACTTTTCCATCAACAATAATTGACTCTGGCAATGAATCCAATGAATGAGGCAAGCAGATATGACTAAAATCTTCATTTCTCAAACTATAAAGAGTTTCCATATATGAAGATAATTCCTGCACTGATGTACTAGGGGTGCCCAAAATAATGTCTCCTGAGAATAATAAATTTTCTTTGTAATCTTCCTTATTAATAGGACTCATTAAGATAGAGAAATGATCAGTCGCGTGTCCAGGAGTATAGAGTGCCTTCAAGTCGAATTCGTCATCCAATTTGAAAGTATCATTATGTTTAAGATCTCTGACCTTACCAGTGAGCGTTGGATATCTCTGAAACACCTCATTTTCAAACTAATTTCCATCTAGCTTTTTGTAAATCTCTGGTTCAGTATATTTAGAAGCTTTTTATCTGTTCGTTAGCGTGTTTAAAACATCAAATAAACCTCCAAAATGATCGTAATGTCCATGAGTAATGAATATCTTTTCAATGCTAACATGGGAGAAGTCAGTCAGAAATCTATTAAAGTTCTCTAAAAACAATTAATTTCTCTCTGGATAGTCACCAGCTTCAATCATAACTCTATTGTTCCCTCTTCCAACAACGAAGCAATTAGTTCCACAGAGTGTAAACAATGAAGGATTTTCTCCTGGAATGTGATATACGTAATCTCTTAGCTTTTAGTAAAATATTCTCTTTAAACCTGATGATTCCATAATTTAATAAAATTGCTAAAACTAATGCAATCTTAAAGTAATAAAAATTTATAAGAAGAAATTTAAGTATAAAAATAACTTAGCTTTTTTAATAAATAAAAATGGGATGTTCTAATAGCTCACTTGGAGGTATCTGTGGGCCTAAAAAAGTTCAAGCTGATACCGTTCATGTAATCAATACTGAGGTAAACCTTGCATATTCTAAACTAGATAGGGTTAGAAGCTATTATAATAAATGAACCAATAAGATCAGAGCAAAACACCATTTTTGAAATCAAATAAACTGGAAGAATTCACAGATGATTAAAACTAGGTTGATGAATATTTAAAGAGAAAAGCAAACAATCAAAAAAATACTACTTCTAATTCGATGAAAAAGTCAGAATCAGCAAGACAATTAAAGAAAATGAATTATGAACCAATAGAAGAGAAATCCTAAAAGCAGTTGAGTAAAAATGAAAGCAAGCTGACAGTCTCTCATTAATCATTGCATAGCACTGTTCTCTTCCCAGAGAGCACATCTAGTAGACCTAATATGGATTAGGTTACAATATCTATAAACTCTAATACATTCCTTTCGCCTCACTAGTCAATGAGCTTAGTGAAATAAAGAGAAAATATTAATACTTCAAAGTTATCTATAAATAGCGCAAATAACTAATCAAATGGGGAGACAGTTGTATTTTTCGAATCTGATTACTGTAGTTCAACTATGCCAGTTTGTCTGCCCTCTGACTTAAACAGGATTGTTGAAAAGCCAACAACTAAGTTTGGGATAGATTTAAATAGACCCTCTACTCCTAATTATAAACCAACTTAAAACAAGGGATAATTTTTGCAAATAGATGGAATATCATAAGGATAATCTTCATAGACCTCAAATGTTTCAAGAGTTTAAGACAGCTATTATGGAAAGCTAAAGTTACTAAATTTGGACCTGGATGATATTATCAAGAAATATCCTGTTACAAGTCACAACTAGCAGAGCATGTAGAAATATTAGATGTTTCACATTTAATCTATATATAAAAAAACTGGACTACCCTCTGCTCCTAAATCAGCCCTAGATGCTGAAAAAGAAGTATTCATGGTTTAGAATCTATTCAGAGTATACAAAAGACTACTTTTATAAGTACTAGATGAATATTAGGATAATATGAGTAAAAATTAATAAAATGGGATAAATGTTGTGAAAAAAGAAGGACTAAGTGCAGTTATAGATGCAATAGAGTATGTGAAATAAAGTCCTCCTCTCAAGCCATTTTATTGGAATAAAACTCTTTCTAAAGTTTGCAAACTACATGCATAAGAATGTTAATAAGCAAATACTATTACTAATAAAACAAAAAAAGGAGAAAAGCCTATTACCAGAATGAAAAAGTATGGGCATGTTTTTATAGGTGGCGCTTAGAATCTTTTCACTGGAATAGTTAATAATAATAGCAAATCTTCTGAGTCTAAGATAACTTAAAACTGTCAGGGTGTCATTGATAATATTATACAGTAAATTATAGATGATGGAGTGTAATCTCGAGGACATAGAAAGAATATACTAAATCCAGCACACAGAACTCTAGGTGTTGCATTTGAAGAGCATAAGTAATGTGGATCAATTATAGTTTGTAACTATGCATTTAATTATAAGAGTAGCAAGCATGAAGATCCCTTGAAGTAGATTATCAATTCATGGGTGGTAGAGGAATAAGCTGATATGCAATAGCAAATGAAGATACATGGCGGGAGTAACTACAAATATCGGATCACATTTTCCTATCCGTATTTGATAAAAACAACCACAATAGCTAAGTAAGATCCAAATACCAAATAAATCAATAAAATTACGGAATACAACACATAAAGAAATGCAGAGAAATTATTTTATAGTGAAGAGGATTCTTAATGAACAGAAGATAATAGTGCTTTAATTTATTTATACCAATACCTCATTAATATTTTTAAGCTCAGCGGGGTTTTGGGGTTTTGGGGTTTTGGGGTTTTGGGG